ATCTACTTGAATCTATAGTTACAAAATGGAGTTGGGTGGGATTCTTGATGTACTTGACAAGAAAACCATTTTGGTAACAGGTGCCACCGGTTTTCTGGCAAAAAGTAAAGTCTCTTACTGTCTCTTTAACTTTGGTTTATGTGTTTTATACTAGGTTAAACATAACTTTGTTTCTATATTTATAACATATGATATCAATCATTGCATTTCCAACTTACAAGAAGTTATTGTCTACGTGATGAAACATACATTTTATTTAGAGAAATTTCATGAAATAATCAAATCTTAAGGGGTGTTTTAAGTATATAGCCACAAAATTTCGAGTTTTGTTAAATGCCTTTCAGATCCACAGAGGGGGCTCTGCGGATCGCTTAATGTCTCTGAGGAACTTAGCACACCTCTGCGGAAATGAGTGACAACACTAAAAGACAATTTTTTTTGGGGGTTTTTAAGGTTCCGCAGAGGTGTCTCTGTGGATCTTGTGAACACCTCTGCGGATTGCTTAATGTTTCTGAGGAATGGGTATGAACAATTTTTTAAGAGAATTTTTTTTGGGGGTTTTAAGTATTTACCAATTCCTCAGAGACATTAAGCGATCCGCATAGGTGTTCACAAGATCCGCAGAGACCTCTCTGCGGAACCTTAAAAACCCCCCAAAAAAATTGTCTTTTAGTGCTGTCACCTCATTTTCGCAGAGGTGTGCTAAGTTCCTTAGAGACATTAAGCAATCCGCAGAGCCCCCTCTGCGGATTTGATGGTCATTTTATAAAACTCAAAATTTTGTGGCTAAATACTTAAAACACCCCTAAAAATTTGGTTATTTCATGAAATTTCTTTTTTATTTAATCGTTTTATGAATTGCTTTTCTATGCTTTTTATTAATAAACTTCCGTTGTATATGTATATTAAATATGAAGATGTTATATGTATTATTGTAGTATTTGTGGAGAAGATACTTAGAGTTCAACCAAATGTGAAGAAACTATATCTTCTTGTCAGAGCAACCGATAACATGTCTGCCTTACAACGCTTCAACACCGAGGTATCATTCATGTCATTACACACATAATTTATAAGTTAAAAGTTATGTTCCATTCTAATTATTGTCAAGATCCAAAATAAGACACTTTCACATAATAGGTAGTAGCAAAAGACTTGTTTAAAGTCCTGAAAGAGAAGTACCATACAAAACTGCAAAATTTTCTCTCTGAAAAGGTTATTCTTGTTCCGGGGGACATAACATGTGAGAACTTGGGAGTAAAAGACTCATGCCTGAAAGAGGATATGTGGAGAGATGTTGAAGTTGTTGTTAATTCAGCTGCCTCCACCGACTTTTATGAAAGGTTCAAAGTTTTATACATTGATTGACTCCATCTAGATCTGTTTCACTTCAACTATTTATGCTTGTTTGGATTGTTGTAGATACGATGTTTCCCTAGATCTTAACACATTCGGCGCTAAATTCGTTTTGGATTTCGCGAAGAAATGTATCAACATAAAGCTATTACTTCATGTTTCCACAGGTTGGTGTCATACATAACTTCCAAATTAATTTTTAGAGCATACACAATGGTGAGTTCAATGTGAGAGTTGAATGATGTGACAAGTCTATGTGTCATTCAATTGATGAAACTCTACCATTGTGAGATGTCAGCTTGGCATTCAATGGATTTGGAGTTCAATGACCATTGAACTTTTCAATGAGAAAAATGAAAGTTTTTAATTCTTAAATATTTATTATAAATTACATTTTGTAACATTCTATTGAACTTTGTAGAGTTCAATGCATTGTAGAAAAAAATGATAGAGTTGTATGGATTGTAGAAAGATGATGTGACAATCCGTTGAACTCTATGAAGTTCAATGCATTATGGATGCTTATAGAACGAAAAGTTGCTATCGTCCTCATAACTCTTAAAATAATAACTTTTATGTATTGTTAGGTATATGTCTTCGATCCACGTTATATTGTTCTACCATGGTTAATTGTTGTATGCATGTTTGGTATATATCTTTCAATCCACATTATATTTGGTTTTAATTTCAATTTCCTTTTCATCGAATTACTAAACCTAACACAAGTTTTGTCAAGTCACCCTCATAAAATATTTATAAGAAGCAAAATTTTAAATATATGTGAAATTTTGTGTCTATCATAATTTCTTTTATTTAATATAATTATAAAACAAATTAAAAAAAATAATAGACAAATTTAACTATTTTAACCATTTATTTATAAAAACTCAATTAATATATTTTTATTTTATTTTGTAACTGGTCAATGGGTCATATACTTCTAAAATCTATCAAATAAATATTCAAAAGTTAAAGCACGATTAATATTTTATTAGTAAAAATTAATTGGTTTTGATTAATATAGTTTTGTTATTATTACATAATATTATGATATTGTTTTTTTTTTCAAATTTAAATATATTAAGTGATAAACCAAATATTGTTTGACATATTTTAACTTATATAATAAATATATATCTTTCTTATGAGTTTTTTTTTAATAAGTTTAAATATGTAATGAACACGAAATAGTATATTAAATATTAAATACAAATTAGAAGAAAAGCAAAACCACCTTACAAAATATCAAATATGTTTAGATTATGACCAAACTTTTTAAAAGGAAGTGATTTGTACAAAATATTTTTCTCTATACACAACAATCCATGGTTTAACAATCTATGGTTTATGGGTTGTACAACATTTAAAAAAAATTATTATGTGTGGAGAAAAACTGTTGTATAATAAAACGCCATAAAAAAGGTTTGTCCATCAATACTTCTTGTATTTACTTTATTATTACCATCAAATAATTTTTAAATGCTGATTTGCAAATTATATTGGAAACAAAAACTTTAAAAATCACAAATGGTAAAAATTGTAATAATCCATATAAAATTAAATTAAATTACCCATGTATTGAAATGGACAACTTAAGTCTCTATTCCAGGCAGTTTAATTGGTCTTTCTTCAGTTAGCACAGTTTGACTGTCGATGAGAAGAAAATCTAACTCCTTTTCTGTTCCAACTATCCTAATGATGCATATTCAGCCTATGTCTCCGGTGAGAAGTCAGGGATGATACATGAGACTCCATGCTACTTGGGACAGATTCTTGACATCAAATACGAGAAAATGATCCTCGAAGATAGACTAAAAGAACTTGAATATCACAATGCTAACGAGGAAGCAATTAAAATGGCCATGAAAGATTTGGGTACGCAAAGGTAGTCAACTACTTTTGCTTTCACCATCAGCTGTTTAATTTGCTTAGAAAAGGAAAAAAAAAATTATCCTATTATTATTGTAACAGAAAGATTTTGGTCTAAATGAGAAAGTGGAGATTTTGATTCATCCACTTTAAAAGAAAAAGAAGTGATTTGATTCTTATAACGCTTATTTTTAAATTCCGACAATCATGATAAAGGGTATAAATGTTAAACCATCTCTTTGAATGAATCAAAAAAACATAACCGGAAATATCACCTTGCTAGCTTCTCTTAATTTTTAGTATAAACGCGTATTAATTTTCGATCAAGGGCAAATCATTGTGGATGGCCAAATACATATGTTTTTACCAAGGCCTTAGGAGAAATGGTTCTTCATCAATTTAAAGGAGACATTCCGCTGGTTATTCTTCGTCCAACCATCATCACTAGTACCTACAAAGAACCCTTCCCCGGGTGGATCGAAGGCATTAGGTAACTTTTTCTTTGTTTTTGTCTAACAAGCACAGTTTCTGTTAGGAAGTTTAAACCCTGAAAAACATAATTTCTATTTATAAAAATCTCAGGACCATCGATAGCTTTATTGTTGGCTATGGAAAAGGCAGGTTAAAGTGTTTCCCTGCAGATCCTGAATGCGTGTATGATGTGGTGAGTTTTCTGGAACATTTTAGCACAATTTAACTTTCATCTGGAAACAATTTTGTTTGAATGATAATAACGCACAGCAAAATGTGGGTAGGTACCTGCTGACATGGTGGTGAATGCTATGATCGCTGCAATCATGGCTAATACAGATCAAACTTCTTCTGAAACAATTTATCATATTGGATCTTCGGTGTCAAATCCTTTGAAGTACACCATAATACAGAAATGTACCTACCTGTATTTTACTCAACATCCATGGACTAAAAAAGATCGGAAATCAATCATAGTTCGCGAGTGTAAAGTGTTGAAATCAATGGCAAGCTTCCATAGATATATCACGCTTCGTTACTTGCTTCCCCTGCAGGTTTATCTTATTTAACTATTCTTTCTCTAACTTTTTCTCACTTCAATTCTACTTTTGTTATTTTTGTATGTTAAGAAATTAATCTCACTCCCTAGGTACTAATAGTTGTGAATGTAATACTCTGCCAAGCGTTTGCGGGTACATGCAAGAATATTGAACGAAAGATCAACTTGGTACTTCGGCTAGTGAAGCTTTACCAACCATATCTGTTCTCGACAAGTTTGTAAGCATTATATATTAGTTTTCATCTTAATGAAAATTGGTTAATCTTTCCACATGTATATTTAGGTTTACGAACTCATTAAATTTGTGATAGGTACCATGATATAAATACTGAAAAGTTGCGTAACATGGTGAGGGAGAGTAAGCATGATGATGTTGCCTTCTACTTCGACCCAAAGATAATTGATTGGGAAGACTACTTCCTGCATACACACATTCCTGGAGTGGTAAGATATGAATTCAAATGATCAAGAGCTCAAAAAGACGGGTATCGATCATGCATGTTCCTATCTTTTCAGTTACATTAATAACTATGGTTTGTATGAATAATCATTGTATCAATGCTATCAAGCTGAAAAACTTTATTAAGTCACTTAATTGGTTGATGCATATGCATAAAACTGTTATCGCTTTCTATAATTCATGTTTGATATTAATTTTATTAGCTGTTCTCGGAATTTTTTTTCTTCCTATTCATCCTCATACCTGTGTATCACATTTAATAAAGTTAACAATATTTTAATCTACTACTATTTGATATGGGTATAAGCCATAATGATAGGTAGGCATCACTAAATATCTTTAATAACACATCTGATTTTAAAAGATTGTCTTGACGATGTCTTCTTAAATCTTCAACTAATAATATCTAGGCCGCAATGTTTGAGAAGTAGTTAATAAACTGTTGCACAATTTTAATTTAAGCGTCCACCCGAGGTTTTTTTTTGACCGGCGGATCACCGGCCAGAAGCATTTAAGATTAAAACCTAAAGCAACTTTATTTTAATGTGCTTAAATTTTAAATCATCACCACAAGGCCATGTTGGTGGTACATGAAAAGGTTATGTATTATTTGTAAGAAAATCGGGATAAAATAGTCTTGGAAGTTCTAAGAATTGTGTATACACTTTCAGATTAAAGTATTTGGGTGGTACTCCTAACCTTTAATCGGATAAGACTCAGAAAAATGAGAGCAAGAACATAGAATCTGGGTGTTATGAATTTCGTGTGTACCATCAAAATGAAGACAAAAAATTAATTAACTAACATTTCCATCAGAAAACTGTCACCAGATAGTTGTATGTCTGAAAACTGTTACAAAAACAGTTTGATGTCTGAAACCTGTCACTAATCCGGGTTATTTATATAAGGGTCAAAACAAAGTCAAAAATCGGGTTTATTTCCAAAATTCAGATTTCTAATGCATTTTTAATATAGCAATATAACCCAAATAAAAAATTCCCGCCAGGCAGGGGCTCTATCCCTTGGACCCCGCCAGGGGCTGCCGCCCCTTAGACCCCGCTCCCAGGGGCGCTGCCCCCGGACCCCCGTTCGTTTAGGGGCTTCACCCCTAAATGACAGTCTACTTTGAATCTTGAATAAACTTAAACAAGTGTGCACTCCACACATTCCTTACTCGTTTAATATTCATCAAGATTAAATTTTGGTCAACAAGTCAATACATTACACTTAAATACATATTGATGATACAAAATCACCAACATTATTTGGAAATAATAAATGATTTCCAAGCTGATAATAGCATAATAATCCGTAAAACAAAATAAAACAAATAAATAGACATTTATTTAGTGGGAAGAAACTGAGACATATACTAGATGGGTAATTTGTTCTGTCAAATCGGAAAGATTGAAATCGTGAAACTAAAGGATAGATATATAATTTTGAAACTGAAGTGCATATTGTTATAACATAAACAAATATTGACTAGTATACTTCGTTTTATGATTTCAAGTATACCATAATACAGAGGTGCATATTGTTATAACCAAAAATACAGAGGTGCATATCGTTTTATGAAGTGCATATTGTTATAACCAAAAATACATGCATCTTAATAATAAATTAAAATCAAAGTTTAAGATATAAACTAAAACAATTTTAAACATATACTTCGTTTTATGATTTCAAGTTCTTAAAATGTAGAGGTACTTTTATACTTACGGTTTCTATAATATATTCGTTTCTATTATACTTGGTTTTATATTCGTTTTATGATTTCGTTTTTTTTAAGCAGAACAAATTTTAGCCAGTTTTTCATGTTCGCATTATTACCAGTTTTGCATCTGACCTTAAACCAAAGAAAAGAATTATTAAAAACTTCCGAAGCAAGGTTAGAGATGCCCTTCACTTTGCTATTGAAGCAAAGATCGTTTATGTTTATGTTGCGCCAATACTCCAGAGGAAAGCTCTAATTACAACATCGTATTTTGTCAGCTCCTCCTTAGAGCAGCTTGGATTAACCCTGCCTTTGATTAGATCATCCACTTCATTACATTGCACGATATCAAAGAGCTTATTCCACCTTCTTCTAAGGGACGCCATCATCTCCTACACTGTAAGAACAAATGGTTCACCGACTCAGGAAAACTATTGCAGGTTGGGCAAAACAAAGCTTGAAGGGCAACACCTCTTTGGAGCAGGTTATATGATTTTTTCTAGTTCCAAGCATGACTAACATTATATTTTTTATAAGTTAAAGCCAATTAAATATAACAACTTGTTCTAAAATAAACAACCATTTTGAACTACATTATCCTAAGTTTAAAAAATAAAATTTTATGTCTAATTCAATTTTGTAATTTAATATTGTTTTTTTATTTTTACGATTTGTTTGAATATTTTTTAATGTTGTTTTCTCTTGAGGTTTGTATCTTTACATGATATAACGTTGCAATTTAATAATTTTATGGAATATAATACTTTTAAAACATTTATCAGTTAAAACATATATTCAGATAAATAAAAACATATAATTATGCCATGCCTACGTATATAATAGAAACCTTAATGTTAAATCGAGTAAATTGCATTTTTATTCTATGTAATTTTATCATATTCGTTTGATTATATTGTTCAACTTTTGAAAAATTAGAAACTATCTATGCCGTTTGGAGAAATTATACTTGTTGTCCATCATCAAACTAAAAATTCAATTTTACCACTTTCAATTACTTCTTTTACTTATTTATATCAAGACTAACTCTAATGGATCTCTAAAAAACATCATTTTAGAGGTCATTTTTACTTCAATAAACTTTTAAAAATCACATTATTTTTGTGTTAACTCATTTTTAATATTAAATAGGCCAAATATGAAACCCTCTAAAACCACCATTTTAGAGGTTATATGGAATGCAACCACTAAAATTGTATTAAATAATCACTATTTGGATGTTTATGGTTGGAAAAGCTCTAATTAATAGTATTATTAATACAAAATAAATAGGGTATGCTTTTTAACACACACCAACACACCAACGCTAGTGCGGATCCCCATCGTCTTCTTAATTACCGTACCTCTCCTTCACCACCGGACACCTACCCCTTTATTACGAGCATCAAATCAAAATCTTCATCTTCAACGACTAGAAACAACTAATACATAACACATCATTATATATGGGGTCCATTGATCTCGATAACTTGGTTCAATCACCATCGTCAATAAATTCTATTTGGTGGTAGGCATACACCAACAACATTAAACCATTAATAGTTTTTTTTTTTGAAACGACAAATATATTATATAAAAAAAAGGTACCCAAATCTAGCAAGAAACTAGAAAATGGAACCAAAAGGTGCAGTACATATACATTACAAACCACTAAAAGGAGAAACTAACCATTCATCCCAACTACATATTCCGCTTTTACCCCTGTGCTTCAGCCAATAGAAGGCCATTAGCTTAATACTTTCAGAACCATGAAGAGGCGAAGTACCTTCAGTATGGAATACTAGATTAATTAAGCAACAAAATGACCGACAAAATTGCCTTATGATACCCCATTTCAGTATGTAAAACACACTATCCTGATTCAAAATGACCGACAAAATTTCCAAATCGGTAAACCTCAAATGAGATTACTAGATTAATTAAGCAACAAATCAATGTATGCGATTTTAATTTTTATTTATCCCAAAAAATGGTTTTCATATATACTAAAATAAAACCATAGCTCCAGCAAAGTTCATCTTTCTCCTTTGCATATGAAGCCAAAAAGAAGCAAAATTTACTTCCAAATGTAATTTTATATTGGCTCGTCTCACAAATATCACATTAACAAATGGGGTATCATAAGGCAAGTAATCAATAAACAATTCAAAACCCTAACTTTTTTGTTTTAAATGGACAAGAATACGGTGGCTGGTACTTTTTAATCATCATCAGCTACATAAGATATTTGGATAACCTAATAAAAATGGGGGATTGTTATTATAAACTAAAGATGAAGAGAGAAAAGACGAGACTTAACGCTGTGGGGGAGTGGTCGCTGTCAAGCCACCGGAAAAGCGCTGCTAACTCAGCGTCACGTTATCTCCACCACCAACTCACTAGACATTGGAAATGGTTACCACTTCATAATATTTTTTTATGATTAAATTAAATAAAAAACATAATTTAAAACAAAAAAAAAATATTTTACATTAACTAAAACCACATTACATTAATTAAAAAACATAGAAAATTATAGCTAAATTACTAAAAAAACATAGAAAATTAAACATAAATTACTAAAAAAACATAGAAAATTAAACCTAAATTACTAAAAAAAACATAGAACTAGTTGTGATATTTCTTGAGAACTTCTTGTTGAATTTTTAAAAAAAGGCTTAAATTTTCTGGGTTGAGATTTGGTTGCGGCACCATGTTTAAAATTTAAAGATCGGTGAGTGCCATTTTTCGCCGACGAGCTTCCTCCGTTGGTTCAATTCTATTTTTCTAAAAAACTTAGAGTTTTGTCTATTTTGTCCGCTAGTGCGTCCTCATTGGTTGATTTTCCGCTTGAAGACACCTCCTTTCTCACTTTGTCCCTTCCCGGTGGTCGACGAAGTTGGACGTCCGGTGGACCCTCCCCCTCGGTGGCGTCAAACTCATCATTGAGGTCGAGGCTAACACCAATGTCCTGACTCAGAAGTTCTTTCCCTTTTTTTTGGAGCCGGTGGTAGATCCCGAATGTGCCGTATCCGGATAAAGAACCAATTTTCGACCGTCACGACAAACTTCCCACGCTTTTTGGTTGGCGAATGGTTTACCATTGTTGGTAATTTTGTATTGGTATAACGCGGATGATAAAATATTGAAATCGTTGCTACCACTTCTATACATATTTTTAAGATTGTCAAATATGACGTTAAATTTGGTGCAAGCCGCTCGAAGGTCACGTCATTTTGCATTGACCGAGTCGTATGCATTGACCGCTCGAAGGTCACGCGTGGAAGTGGTCTAAAACACGATTCCAAAAACTTTGACCCGTTTGCACGTTGCCGACATCCCGGTATTGTGATATGAAAATCCAAGCTTTAGCTAAAGCTTCCTCCTCCTCTTTGGTCCATTGCGTAGTTTTCTTTTCTCTTTTCTCTTTTAATTTTTTTTGCCTTCTACGATTTGGCTATGTTTCTTCAACCCGTTCGTCGTCGTCATTGTCAATGTTTATAGGTTGAGATTAAGATAATGGAACTTGAGATGGTTGAGAAGGTTGTGCGTGAAATTGTTGACGTTGAGAAGTTTCGGGTTGAAATTGTGGAGAAGGTTGTTGTTGAAAGACTTAAAATTGGGGTTGATTGAATTGTGGTAGTTGTTATTGGTAGTAGTGTGGGTGGTATGAAAGATTGGTGAATAGAGATTGTTGTTGGATTGGAGATGCTATCAATTGCATGTAACTAAGATTTGCTAATGGATCATTTGGAGTGTTTGAGGTGTTTGTAGTAGGCGGAGTATTTTGATTTGGATCCATACAGAAGATAAAAAATATATGAGATGAGTGTTTTTTTGTAGAAGATAATAAGTAGAGAGTGTTTTTTGAAGTATAAAGTGTTAGTAAATTAGTGAGTATTTATAGTTGAGGTTGATAGGTTTTAAAATGAAAAAAAAAAGAATTTTTTTTATTAATGTTTAACGGTCAAATGAAATTGGGGACCGTTGAAAATTTCCGAGCCTGCTCCTTCCTCATTGGTCGTCTTCAAGCGTCTTCGCAGCCACGTCACACGCAAGCTACCGGGTCTGGGGACAGTGTTCACGCGTTTTCAGACCCTCCAGGTCAGCTTCACGCGTGATTTGAGGGTGCCACTCTGGATAGCCTAATTGACTGTCAAGAACCATTCATCTAGGTGGCGGAAATAATGATGATTCCACCCTACCCAATGGTGGATTGAGAAGAAGAAAGATGACGACAACATGAGCTATAACGGAGGTTCTCCATCCTTTTCATTACCACTGTTAGGCACTGTATGCAAACTCTTCTGTTAGAACATTGCCACTACCAATAATAATACATCACAAAATCAAGCCAACGAGATGGTTGTAGTTTTAGGTGCTGTTTGTTTTTTCTAAGGCAAAATGTCTGCAGTCTGCGAACCACATCTATAGACCTCTGCAGTAGAAGATGTGGACCAAACGTCTGCAGTCTGAAAAAAGAAGATTGTTTGTTTTTTTAACATCTGCGGACTACTAAAATAAACTGAGATCTAAATAAACTGATTTTTTTAAACTTCAAAGTGTTTTTTTAATATTTTTATGACTTTGTTATAAATAAT